AGCGCGCGGGGACTGCGCCTCGACGACGTGCCATTTGGCGAGACGGACGCACTTGCGCTCTGCGACGCCTTGAGCACATGCGTCTCGCTGCTCGAGCTTCGTGTGAGTTACGCCATGTCGCTCTCCGAGCGTCTCTTGGACGGCCGATCGTTGCCGCCCAACCTCCGCGTCTTTGTGTGGGGCATGCACCGCCCGACGCCCGCACCGCGCCTCACTGCGCTACACCACACCTCCCAGCTGCGCACGCTCGACTTGTCGGGCAACCATTCGCTCTTCTCGAACGCGATCGCTGAGCTCTTGCCACATTTACCGCACCTGCAAACGCTCAACGTGTCCAAAGGCAAGTTCGCACCAGGCGACGTGGTGCAGTTGCTCACTGCCATGAGTCAGCGCCCGTCGCTGCAACACGTTTTGATGCGGCAGTGCAATCTACCTCGAACGGCCCTTCCTTTACTTGTTGCGTGCATCGCGGCATGGCCATCGCTTCGACGCCTCGACCTCGCGGGTCTGTACCTTCCTCCACAAGCGTTCAAGGCGATGGTGACGGCGCTGGGTCGATGCCCCAACTTTGCGTCGTTGAGTCTGCGCTTCCCTCCGTACACGGATGCAATGTGGCGTGCGATTGCTCCAGCGCTCGGCGCAGGTCTCTTGAAGTGGCGGCGCGTTTTCTTTAGCGAGTGCGAGCCCACCGCCGTCCAAGTCGTGCAGTGCCTCCGCCGTCTCTTGAAGCACAACCAAGAAGCGTTTACGGTGACCTGCTGCAAGGGCTACTCGGCAGCTGCGCTGCAGAACACGTATACTGCGCTGCTCGACGAGCTCGCAATTTTGCCACCGACACGCGAGGCAGCTGCCTGCGTTGTTGCTTTTGTGAAGCTTGAGTAACGAGTCGACACCAAGCGACGAATCAACACGCCCAAGCGCGCCAAGCAATCCGACAATAATGTCACACAAAAACAGTCCCATATATATGCATTCCTACCAGCCCCGCCCGCTAGAACCCAGCTAGAACCGTTAGTGGGTCAATCATAGCGCTGGACCATTGCGGACCAGCCAATCCGTGCGCAGCATGTGCGATCCTCGGGCTGAGCCGCGCGCAACACCATTCGATCGTCGGTCAACTGGAATGACTTGAAAAGTAGTCGTCATGAACACCATGAAGAGGTATATCGACTAGAGCATCGGGTGCCAACTGCGGTTCAAAACGGGCACCGAGGTCCGTGCTAGGCGCTCGTGCAACGGAACGTTGTGCATCGTGCAGTAGCTGGCGTAGTCGGTCCACAGCATCTCGACGCGGTCGTACGAGGCTTCGAGGAGGTCTTTTTCCAAGAAAAATCGGCGCGGGGGCGGCGTCGTCGTGTACGTTGTCGTCGACGGGTCGTGCTTGCAGAGCAGTTGCAGCCGGGCGACCTTGCGCGCGAGGCAGCTGGTGCAAAACATAAAGATGCCGCCGGGGCACCCGGTGCACATGACGACACAACCGACAATCGCCTTGCCGCACACGAGACAGTTGGCTGGCCACGTCTCGGGCGTCAACTCGTCGGTCGACTCGACATAGTACTGAATGCGATCGAGACGGCCGGGTACTGTCGTGGGTGCATGTGTCGCCATCAAGAAGAAGAGCCACGTCGTTTCTTTTCTCTGAGGCGCCAGGTCCAGTGTCCGTACAAAGTACGTGGCGGCCTTCTCGTACTGGCTCTGGTACCAAAATGCAACGGCAATGTGATCGAGCACTAGACATACACTAACGTCACGACGGCCAATACCGCCACATACCCGAGAACTGGCGTGTGGCTAGCTCAGGCCGGCCTTCTAAGATCGCATCCAGCGTCGTCAATAGTGCCTGCGCTTCGTTGGCCTTTCCCGCATTAAGAAGTGCGACCCCGAGTGTAATCTTGTCAACAATTGCCGAGTCGTGGAGCGGGCCGAGAATGCGCTCGCTGCTCGCAACAAGGCGCTGTGCCAGGGGCAGCGCCCGCACGGCGTTGCCTGTGTTCAAAAGGGCATTCGTGAGCCGTGACGCCGATGTTTGCGTCGACGTATGGTCGTGACCAAAGGTTGCTTCTTGCACGAGCAGGGCGCGTCGAAGGTACCGGGCAGCAACGCGGTACATGTAGAGCTGGTTGTACGCACCGCCGATCGCACTCAACGTGCCAGCCGTCTGCCAATGACGGAGGCCAAACGTGGCGCGCTGGAGGTCCAGCGTCCCAAGACCCACAGTAAGCGCGCCGCGGTGATCGCCGTTCCAGGAAAGTGCGACCGTGAGGCGCAAGCGAGCGACGAGCGTCGTCTTGTGCATCGCGCCGAGCAGATCCACAAGCGCGGAGAGCGTTGAGAGGAAGAGCGGCTCCCACTCGAGCTGTGGTTTGCGTTGAAACGCGATGCACAATGCCAGCTCCGACTGCGTCTTGAGCGTCTCGAGGTCGTTGGGGCCATTGGCTCGCGTAAACAAGACGACGGCGTGTCGGAAGCAGCGCTCGGTCTCGACGTCGTCGTTGTCGCGGTCGTAGATGTGCCCGAGATGGCGCCACCGCGCTGCCTTCTCGGCGAGCGTTGGCGCCGATGCGATCGATGCCTCAAGCGCTGCCTTGATCCAATTCGATAAAGTCGAAAAGATGAGCCGATCGACCGCGATGAACGATGTCTCGGCGCGAATCAAATCAAAAATACCATCACGGTCGCTCGGGACGGTTGCCTCCGAGTTTTCGCATTTGATTGTCGCCAGCATGCGATGGATCGCGCCATCGTCTGCGATGTCGTTGAGAAACGTGGCTTCTTGACCCTGCGCCAGTGCGATCTCAAAGCGCGCGCCCATGGTCACAGCCACGTAGACTTCAAAGACGCACCAGCTTCGCCGCAAGACGATCGGGTCGTTCCACGGGTGCATGATCATGACCACGTTGCCGATGGCTGCCAGACCATTCTTGAACGTCGTCGACCAGTACTCGAACGGGTACGAGCTCGCGAGGTGTTGGTTGTTGTTGAAGACGCAAAACCAAATGACCGCGTCGTCCGAGAGGCCGCGGTCGGCAAAGAAGCGCTCGAGGCTGTCGACAGTCTCCAAGAAGAGATACTGCCAGGCGTGGCTGACATACCAGTTGGCCGGCGCGACGTAGGCGGCGGTCGTTGGGTCGTTGGCGACGTGGTCAACGAGCGAGAGCTCCGACGGCTTGGTCAATGGCACGACAAACTCAAAGCAGACTTGGGCTGTCGTCTTGCCGGCAAAGCTGGTTTCGCCGCCATGGCTGTTGATAAAGTGGCGCAGGTACGAGAGGCGGAGGCCGCGGGCGGGCGACGAGGACGCTGCGGCGGTCATGCGATGGGATGGGGTGAACTGCTTGCATTTGCAACCATTTGCAAGTTCACCAAGTTGCGTTTTATAATTCATACTATATATATTTCATAGTCCATTGACTGGAATCACGCGTCTTAAGACAGGCAAATCAGAGACGGGAAATCATCCAAATACACCAATCCCAATTTGATAAGGGTCGATTACGATCCAGCTGAGGTCCTCGCGCATCCGTACGTCGTCCACTGGTCAGGGGCGGGCGGTCCGTCGATCTGTATGGACGACAAACTATTATATTGATTGGTACAGCTATGCACCCAACGAGGCATCAACGACCTAGGCGCGGTTGTCAGGTGCTGCTTGAAACTGGTGCGGCAGCTCGGTGCACTGACCGGCGGTGAGCGAGACCGTCGCCGCGATCGTTTCCCCCGCGATCGACGTCATTTCGACCTTGGCCGCATTAAAGTCAATGTGGCCTTTGGCCATAAAGAAAAAGTTGGAGCTGGTCGAGAAGAGGTCGCTCGTGGCACCGTTGATGCTCATTTTCGCTACGCCATGGCGCGCATTGGCGGGCTGAAGCGCGAGCCAGTGCGGGTTGCTACCCGCCTTGGCACAGACCTTGACGCCGCCAGAGACAGGGCAGTCGACAAATCGCCACGAAATTGAAAACGCGTCGGTGGTCGCGCCCGTCACTTTTTGAAAAAACGGCAATGTCAGGTCCATGCTACCATCCGCGCAGCCGTGGCACTGGTCCGAGACCTGACCGAGCACCGGCGTCTTGGTTGGACACCGGTCGTCGACACACGTCACTTGCACGCACCGGCCGCAGTTGGTTCCGGACGCCCACTGCGCACGGTTGATGGCTGCATGGAACGTCTTGGCGTTCTCGATCCAGTCCATGAGGCCGCAGTTGCCGCTGTTGACATCGACGCCATCGACGCCGCCGTACGTCGTCGCACGACCGGTGCTGGTCCCGTCGCCCTTAACACTCGTGCTGCAGTTGACCGGGCCGGTGGCAAAGAGAGCAGTGGCGACCCACTCGTCGGTCGCATTGGCTTTTTGGACGCTGAATCCGACTTGAGTGAAATCGGGGTTCAAAATGTTGGCGCGGTGCTTGGTCGAGTTCATCCAGTGCATGACCATGCCGTTGGCACTGGCGACTTTGCCGCGCACCGAGTTTTCGCCACAAACGACGTCGGGACCGATGGCGTGACAGCGCGCAGCGAGCTTGGTGTGGTCGAGCGAGTGGGCGACGATTTGGCCGGCGACATGGGTGGCTGTGAGCGCGTTGAGCTGCGTGTCGAAACACGCGAACGGTGCGACGTTGTGATGGATGCGCTGGGCGTTGTGTTCGCGGTAGAGGTCGTCGAGGATGTCGGCGGCAACGATAGACAGCAGCGCGCACAGCGAATACAGGAGCTGCATGGCGTCCGCTATGAAAATGAAAACTGGATGCGGACGGCGGGATGTGGCGAACGAGAGATCTGGATGTATATGGTTTCGAAGGTGATGCACAGTTTGAGAGACCATGCGGTGCGATGTGGCGTAGGTAAATCAAACCACCTGCTCATCGATAATGTATCTATGAGGGAACCGATGCTGTGATCCACTCGTTGCATGCAAAGGCGTAGAGACAAAACGACGTTAGATACGGCAATGACGCACCTCTAGAAAAGGGAGGAATCCGCCGGCAATCGAAATGACCACGTAGACCAAAATGTCGACAGGAACCGGTAAAACGGACGCACATTTCTGGATTTTTACGAAACATCGAGATTTCTCGCCGCCAAAAACAGCTGTCGTTGGAACGCATCGTGGCCGCACATTGGACAAGCCGATGGAACTGAATCGTTTTCTTGGCGTGGGCGAAAGATGGTAGATGAGATTTGAAGTGCACTAATCACATAACATGACCTTGGACAGCTGAATGGCGCGGAATATAAACGTCTTGATCGAGCCGCCCACGAGTGCTTCAACCAAGCAAACGACGGTTATTGTGCTGGTTAGTGGGTATCCATAGGTCCGAAGATATATCTAAAGCCTATTGATGGGACGAGGCGTCGGCCACATGTGCAGTGGCTCGACTGGCGCAGTGGCTTTGACTCATAGATGTACATGTATGCATAGAGTCGACTGTTGAGTCGACGCGGACCCGCGTCCAGTGGCGATGAAACTATCTTTCTGCTTTACACTGCACATGAAACACCGGCTACGATCCCCAGACGCCCTTGGGTTTTCTACAAAGGCAACCGGTGTCAAGCCAGTTTGCACTTCCTGGCGTTTCTGTCAATGGCTGTTGATACTAGTACCATGGGCAGTCTATGCTGGTCGATTAGAAAAGGATGATGGCACTCTTTGTCATGTACACTTTCTCAGTACAAAGTTGTAGCGTTGCGATGAAACTATGGGGGTCGTGGGTCGAGGCTGCGGAGGGCAAACGCGCATCATTATCCTCCACCTATATGATTGGTGCATTATCTGCAATTTTCCACCAATCACTTTGCTCCGGAGAGCAAAGTGCACTTTCCGAGCATGCCAGGAGGACGCACGACGAAGAAGGGCCACCGGACGGGCTTCTCCAGCCCCACATCATCGAGGCGATTGCCTCATCGCTCTGCACGCGAGACGATTTTACCAGCTTTCTCGACGCGGTGCCCCGCTCGCTGTGGTCGCCGGCGCTCAGCGCGTTGGTCGACGTCTGTGCGATGGCGCCACCGGACCACCTCTACAACGAGTGGCCGCGCCTCCTCCTCTGCAAGGTAGACGTATCGCCCGAGATATTGGCCATGCTCGCCAAGGTGCTGCCGCTGCGGCTGTGCATTGACGTCACGGATGCAATCCGGGAGGCGGCGCCGCTGGCCAACCTCGTCCACAGCATCGGGCCCGCGCTCAGCTACATCCATCTCGCGTTTGAGGACGGCGTTATGGTCGACGGCCAAGGCCAAAGAATCGCCAACCTCCTTTTGCAGCAGTGTCCGTGCTTGTCCGAGCTGGT